CACGTGGGCTTTCTCTAGTTGCGGCGAGTGGGGGCTGCTCTTTGTTGCGGTGCGCGGGCTTCTCATTGTGGTGGCTTCTCTTGTTGCGGAGCACGAGCTCTAGGCGTGCGGGCTTCAGTAGTTGTGGCACGTGGGCTCAGGAGTTGTGACTCACGGGCCCTAGAGTGCAGGCTTAGTAGTTGTGGTGCACGGGCTTAGTTGCTCCGTGGCATGTGGGATCTTCCCGGACCAGGGCTTGAACCCATGTCCCCTGCATTGGCAGGCGGATTCTTAACCACTGCGCCACCAGGGAAGCCCGAGGTAACTTTTAATATGGTTATTTGCATCTGAGCATATTATTTGAATTCACTAACATGGGAGACTGTTACGGACAGTTTGTGTTAAGCAAACTTTAGAAGCACCCTTGAATAGAAATACTGATCACAAAGCATGATTTCTGAAGCAGGGAGCTTTCTAACAGTTTCATTGTTTTAGATCAGGGGTCAGTAACTTTCTGTAAAGGGCCAGACAGTAAATATTTTAGGCTTTACAGGTCATAAATTTCGGTCATAACTACTCAAGTCTGCCACTGTAGCATGAAAGTAGCCAGACAATATGTCAATAAGAGGGCATGACTATGCTGCAATAAAACTTTACTTATGCAAACATGTGGCAGGCCAGATTTGGCCTGTGGGCTGCAGTTTACCAACCCCTGCTCTAGATGACAATCTGCCACTTATCAGGGACTGTTAATTCGTCCCTTTAAACTTTATTGCATCTGTCTGTGCCTTTATTTTTGTCCTGGTCTAGGTTTCAAGATGCAGACTGGGGCTGTTTTATCAGTCAACTAATGGGTTCCCTCTGCCTCCTGGCTCTTCACTATAAAATAAGCTTAGTCAGTTTTCATTATTAACACATCACACTCATTTCTGCCTTTGCCCTTTTATTCTCATACAGAAGTTATCTAAATCCTGGCTTCCAGGTCAAGCTTAAAGTCACATCTTTCCAAGGCCTTTCTCAACCCCCCTGGCCCTTAGGGGTTATCCTTTCCTCTTATCTCCAGCACTGTTATGTCTATTCCTTACTTGTTATCTTGTATTATGAATTCATCTTTTTATGTGCACATCCTGTCTCTCCAACTAAACCATAGGCCTTCACGGATCTGACCGTGCCTTATGCCCGTTTGTCCCCTCGTGTTCAGTCAAGCGCCCAGACCAGAGTAGACACTTAGACGGCTGCAGACAGCAGAGGACAACCATGATGAAATATACTGAGGGGAGCTATTGTTTAAGGCAGCTTTGTTAGGAAACAAACAAAAAAATCTTAAGACAATCTGTTTGGAATATTGTTTTTTATAAGACAAAAAAGCTTATTAGGATAATTATGAATACATTTGCACTCTGTGGTGTTTTTTTTTTTTGGTATGCGGGCCTCTCACTGTTGTGGCCTCTCCCGTTGTGGAGCACAGGCTCCGGACGCGCAGGCTCAGCAGCCATGGCTCACAGGCCTAGCCACTCCGCGGCATGTGGGATCTTCCCGGACTGGGGCACGAACCCGTGTCCCCTGCATCGGCAGGCGGACTCTCAACCACTGCGCCACCTGGGAAGCCCCTCTGTGGCAATTTTTAGATTATAAGTCAAAGAGTGTTTGACCAGTTTTTTTTTTTTTTTTTTTAAGTGTAAATAGATATTTGCCTTATATAGCTATGAGGAAGGAAAATCTTCCCCTAAGAAATCCAGGTGCAAGAGATTGTCCTTTTTTTGAACCAAAACAATCTTGGAGGCACTTCTAGGTATGGGGTATATGGATGTTGCTAGGATATTTAAATTCACGTTAGAGAAAAGGCCTGGTGGTGCTCACGTGGGTAGATGCAGCCTTCAGAGAACACAGCTTTACCTGCTGATGCTAAAAAATGCCTGAGGCTAATATTTATGTCAGTCCCTGTGCTGCTTCTGCATATGCCCCATGAATACCATGTGTATTATTTTTTTTGGAATTTTTTTTCTATGTGTATTTTTAACCTGAATTACTACCTCTAATATTTACTTTAACCTAATTTTTCCTGTAAAAGAACTCTGGCAGGGGCATCGGTGGAGTTAGGACGTAAAAGGGATACTCAGAAATTTCCCTAGGATTTAATAGTTAACTATACATACTAATATTGCTTCCTTGCTGTTGATAACACTGTGATAGTTCCGTTTCAATAGTCTGTTGGTATGTGGAAGGGACTTAGACTCAGCCAGCATTTAAAAAAAGTTAAAGAACCAGTTACGTGAAATGTCGATAACATCTCTCTCTTGCTCTCTTTTTTTTTTTTTTGGATAACATCTAACACCCTGATTCTTCTTAGTGGCATTGCTATTAACTTTTCATCTAGCTATGTCAGTCTTTGTTCCTGTGAATTTTATGTTTTTTCATATCTAGACTCAAGGAAAATACTTCCCTTTCAGTGATGTAATTTACTGTAAATGACGGAACATTATTACTAGAGTATTAAAACCACGTAATAAACAAAGCACCATACTTTGAATAAGTGTCATGATCAATTTCACTCAGGGAATTAAAATCTGGATGTAGTACATAATTAGTGCCAGTCTATTACATGCAGTACCATGTAGTGGTGAACAGTCAGATAACCTTGGGTCCCATGTCCAGTTCTGTCCCTAAAAATCCTCATGATCCTGGGTTATTTAACCTTGTCTTCTGGAAGATGGTGATACTATATACCTCGTGGAATTTTTGAGAATCACATGAAATAATATGTATGAAGGGATCAGCACAGCATCCATGCATAGTAAACTCTCAATAAATGGTAACATTACTATGTGCAAAACAGGAAGCAGGTGAGCATATAAGCTCCAAGGGAGCTTATTTATTAGAGTACTTAAATGCATATTTAGAACACATAAATAATGGGGTAAGAGTTCACTGGAAAGAGACTGTAGGAAGAGAGATATGAATGAGGGAAGGGCATCTACGTGAAGGATACCGCATAAGCAAGTATATGTAGCTATATAAGCTTAGGATAATTTCAAGGAACAGGAAGTGATTCCATTGGCTAATATCTATAGGGGAACAGAGTGAGAGAAGGCTCAAAAGTTTGCCTATGCCAGGCCTTAACTGCTAGTGTGAAGAGTCTGGTCTGGATTCAGTAGAGAGTAGATGGAGTTTGAGGTAGTGGAAATAAGACTGATAGGTGCTATATTTTTGGTAGCTTGATTTGGAATCCATTGTATAGATGTATAGTGGAATTTTTCTTCAAGCATCTTCTTCATAGGATAGCTAACCCCAGGAGCCCTGACAACCTAGAATCACACGTGACTCACCTCTTTGAACGAGATAAGCCTGCTGGTCAGCGTCACTTGCTCTCGCCCCATGACGGCTCTGCATTTCCATCAGGGACTGCCTGCTGGGATGAAAAGCAGCACTATATGTGAAACCCTGAAATACGACAACGTTGAGCAGGCATTCAACGGAAGTACGAGAAAAAAAGACCTAAACTACAAAGCCAAGGTTCATAGAAACCAGAACTTAAGAGTAATTTGAGCTTTAAATATTACTGGCACTAGGACACAATGTAGTAAAAGTAAATAAGATTTTTAAAAATCAGGAAACAAACAAAATGTCAATTGACAGGGGAAAAGATTAGAAAAAAGTGGCATATTTCTAAAACAAGACACAACAGAGCAATTAAACAGAGTGAAGTAAATCTACATATATATACACACACACAGAGTTCAAAATTAGTTATGTAAAGCAAGTTGCAGAATAATACCTATAGTGACCGTTTTATAACCTAGGCACCTTGTTTTAAGAAATTAATATTACCTTGTTTTAAGATATTATATAGATGTGTATATATGCAAAAGTACAAAACAGCTGGGGATGCTGTTGCAGGCAGTGTGGGGAAGGGAGAGAGGCCTATAATGGCAGGGGGTGTGGGGAGAAGACTGCAACTTCATCTACAACTCCTTTTTCTTTTAATAAAAATATACTTGGGGCTTCCCTGGTGGCACAGTGGTTGAGAGTCCGCCTGCCGATGCAGGGGACGCGGGTTCGTGCCCCCGGTCCGGGAAGATCCCACATGCCGCGGAGCGGCTGGGCCCGTGAGCCATGGCCACTGAGCCTGTGTGTCCGGAGCCTGTGCTCCGCAACAGGAGAGGCCACGGCAGTGAGAGGCCCGCGTACGGCAAAGGGAAAAAAAAAAAAAATATATATATATATACTTGAAGAAAATAAAACAAATATTAGTAACTGTCGATTCTGGATGGATACATATTGGTGTGTATTATTTTATTCTCTGTAGTTTTCTATTTTCTATTCCTTAATATTTCAGTTTTTTATCAAAATGAGAATTTTAAAGATAGAAGTAATTTTAGCAGTATTTTCTTTGAAAACATTACAGAATTATTTAAAGTGTTAGGAATATTTCATCCATGAAAATGGCAGGATATGACTTCGGAACACATAATGTCACGTTTTTACAATTTATCTAAAAGAACTCGATCAGGTTCCCACAAGGTGCTGCCAGGCCTTGCAGGGCAAACTAAGTGTTAGGAACACCGTCAGGCAAAGTGTGCTCAGAGCGATTCTTTTTTTTTTTGCGGTACGCGGGCCTTTCACTGTTGTGGCATCTCCCATTGTGGAGCACAGGCTCCTGACGCGCAGGCCGAGCCGCTCCGCGACCATGGCTCACGGGGCCAGCCGCTCCGCGGCATGTGGGATCTTCCCAGACCGGGGCACGAACGCGTGTCCCCTGCATCGGCAGGCGGACTCTCAACCACTGCGCCACCAGGGAAGCCCCAGAGCGACTCTTATAGCTCAAATTAGGAAACACTGTGGGTCACCTCCCACAGATGGGGTGATATGTGCTCTAAGTCTTCCCCTCATTCACCTGCCTTCATCTTCAAAAGCATTATTCTCTTTCAGCAGAATTGCCAGCTGCAATGCCATTTGCTCCTTTTCTTCATGAATCTTCTCTCTTGCTGCTCTTTCTGCATGAAAGTCAGAACAATAAACCTCCATCTGTTAGAGGAAAAAAAGAGACAGAAGTTACCACCTAGACAAATGTGGATTCTCTACAGCTCACCTGCTGATAAGGTGAAGAGGTAGTGCTGCATCCTGTGACATTGTCTTGCAAATAACAGGTACTTGTCCCTGCTAGAAACCAGTGTAATCACCATGACTTTCCAACTACCTTCAAATAGAAGACACAAGTTGTGTGTGTGTGTGTGTGCTTTAAACTATCAGAGCCCAGCAATTACCTAGATATAGGTAGTTTAAATACTGTGTGTACCATTAGTTCAGTAAAATTCTCTGGTCTCTTTTTTAAAAATAATATTCAGCACTAGCTTAATATGGTAAATGGTTTATTTACCCTGTCAGGTATGTTTATGCAGGCTGGCCTTAAGCTAAATTTAAAATAACAACAATAAATAGATGCTATGTATTGAATTCCAAACATCTGCAGGGCCCTGTGTTTGGTGCCCGTATTGACCATTTTATTTCCTCCTTATCCAAAATCCTGGGAAGGCAGAATTGCTATGCTCATCTTACATTTATAAATTTAATAGCTCTTAATCTTGGGGAAATTAGTTAAGTGCTCAAACCAGCATTTGAACCCAGATTGAAGCCCATGTACCATGGACGCTTCCATTTACCATACTGCTTTCCACAGCGGTAGCCAGCCTCCAAGATGGCGCCAGTGATCCTTACCTCTTGGTAATCATAACTTCATGTGGTCCCCTCCCACAATGAATGGGCCAACCTGTGTAACCACTAGGATATTACAGAAGTAATGGTGTGTGGCTTCTGAAACTAGGTCATAAAGGACACCATGGCTTCTGCCTTGTTCTCTCATGGATCACTTGCCCTGGGGGAAGCTAGTTGCCATGTCATGAGGGTATTCAAGCAGCCCTATGGAGAGGCACACATGGTCAGGAACTGAGGCCTCCCGCCCATAGCCATGAGAATGAGTCATCTTGGAAATAGATCTTTCAGTCCATCCTGAGTGCAGCCTCATGAGAGACCCTGAGTCAGAATCACCCTGCTAAGCTGCTCTTGGATTCCTGATCCATAGCAACTGGGTGAGATAACAAATGCTTGTTGTTTTAGCTGCTACGTTTGGAGAATAATTTGTTACCTATAAAAAAGTAAATATGCCATAATATGTAATTTCTTCACTGTTACAAAAATTATAAAGTGAAAATGAATGCCTTAATAGTGAATTGAGCATTATTTCAATACCAGTTTTTAACTTCCTGTATTTAAAATTGGGTTTTTCATTTCAAATTTAGTGGTTCTCGGATACAAATTTATTTATTTATTTATTTTCTTGGATACAAATTTTTATCCATTACTTTAAAAAGTAAAATTAATAAAAATTTAAATATTCTAATCACACTGTAGTTACCAAAAAAGTATGAAATAGATCATTTTAAGGGACTTCTGCCATTTGTGAGTAATCCAACATTTTATGGTTATCATTGATAGATTATGGGCTTTTTTTTGAGTCAGACCTAAATCTGAGTTAGAGTCTCACCTCCATCAGTTACGAGCTTTGAGCCAGTAAGAACTGGGCCTTTGTTTTGTCCATTCCTATATCCCCGGCAGTGAGAGCAGTGTCTGACGTAAAGTGCTCAAAAAAGAGTTGTTGAATGAATGAACAAGAGTATCCATCAAAACAAATGTCTCTGTACAGAACATGGCAAAAGTACATGACTACAGTATCATGCACAAAGGAAATGCCTTAAAGAGCTCAGGCTGAAATTCTATTCCTGTCGAAATAAAACTAAAACCATAAGTTCAGTCAACCACTTCCATATTTCACTGGGCCAGCCACTCTGGGCAGCTGGTACTGAGTATGTATATAGGGAATAATAAACTTCTGGCATTGTTACACTACAAATAATCTGTTTATCTTCTTCAGATTGGCAAACATTTAAAAGAGTGATGCAAGGATGTGGGGAAATAGGAGCTCTCATCTACTTCTGGTAAGAGAATAATTTTCATTATGCATTTTTGGAAGACAACTTGGTAATACTTATTTAACTTAAAAACAGGCATATCCAATGACCCAACCATTCCATTTCTGTATCTTACTAGAGATTCCACAAGTGCACAAAGACACAGATACAAGAATGTTCAGTTCAGCATTGTTGATAATAGCAAAAATATTGGTACAACCTACAGGTCCATTAATAGAGGACTGGTTAAACCTGTCATGGCAATGTACACTTTGGACACCATACAACTGTTAAAAAAAACTACATATGGCTGTGAGTAATAACATGGAGAGATATCCAAGATATATCATGAATGAAAAAGTAGTGCAAAATGTATGGCATGATCCCACTTTTAATTAAGCAAACAAAATAGAAACAAACAAAAAAAGGTTTCCCCCCACTTTTTGGTGATTTTACATCTCAGGCAGGATGTATGTTCACTAATAAAACTCTTCTCTAAGGACTCCACCCACCAGTATGAAAAGTGGGCCAAAACAGTCACAACCAGCCAATTGTACACAAATTCTTCCAGAGAACAGTGAAAGAAGAAATGTGCCCCAACTTGTTTTTATGAGGCCAGTAAAACCCTGAAATCCAAACCCAACAAGGACATGAGCAGAAAGAAAATTCTAGGCCAATCTTACTCAAGAATATAGAAACAAAAATCCTAAGCAAAATATAAGCAAACCAAATCCAACAATATATACAGAGGATAATTCAAGAAAGGCAAAGTTTAATATTTTAAAAATCAGTGTGATTTACCACATTAACAAATTAAAGGAAAAAGGCATATAATTATCTAATTATATCATTATATGAAGAAAAACATTTCCTAAATAAAATTCAACATCCACTCAAAATAAACATTTTTGGCAAACAAGGAAGAGAAGGGAATTTTCTTAATCTAGTAAGTGATACCCATGAAAAGCCTATACCACACATTCAACAGTGAAATGTTGGAAACACTGCCACTGAGACTGAGAGCAAGGCAAGGCTGCCTGCTCTCTCCACTGTTACACAGCATTGCACTGGGGTCCCAGCCAGTGCAATAAGGCAAGAAAAAGAAAGAAAAAAAATATAATGAACTGGAAAGGAAAAAAAAAAAACTGTCATTATTTAACTGATCTTAGTGTACTAAGTCCAAAGGAATATTTAGAAATATTATTAGAATTAAAATGTGAGTTGAGTAAGTTTACTGCATGGAAAGTCAATATTAGGAATCAATTGTATTTCTATATAGCAGCAACCGTTAGAAAATGAAGTTTTAAAAAATGCTATTTATAAAACTATCATAAAAATAGAAAATATCAAAAAAATAGAAAATATCTAGGAATAATCTAATAAAAGATGAGCAAAATCTTTACTAAGAAGATTAAAAATATGACTGAAAATAATTAAAGAAGATATGTCATGTTTGTGGACTGGAAGAGTCAATGATGTAAAGTTGCCAATCATCTCCAAATTGATTTTTATATATTTAATAAAATTCTAATCAAAATCCCAGGGTTTTTTTTCTGTGTAGAAAATATCAAGGGAATTCTGAAATTTATAAGAAAAGGAAAACCTAAGGTCCTCTTGAAGAATCTCAATGAGGTAGGAAGACTTTCTACCAGATATCAAAGCATTTGATTCTTTATAATAAGAAAGTATGGTACCAGAGCAAGGATGTACAAATAGCCCAATGGAACAGTATAGAATCCAGAAATAGACCCGTGGGTACCTGGACACAATATGTGACAAAGAGGGCAGCAGAGTCCTTAAGATGACCTTTTAAATAAATGGTGCCAAATGAACAGGATATTCATGCAGAAGAAAATATGAATCTTTACCCTTACCTCACTCCATATAGAAAAGCTAATTCCAGATGGTTTTTAGATCTTAATGTAAAAGGCAAAACCATAAAACTTTTAGAAGACAACATAGGAGAATATGTTCATGGCCCTGAGATAGTGAAAGTTTTTAAAACAGAACACAAAAAGTACTATAATCATAAATAAAAAGACTCATAAACTGGATTGCATTAAAATTAAGAATTTTCGTTCAACAGACACCTTCATGAGAGTGGAAAGGCAAATCATAGAGTGAAGAAATCTGCAAAAAGTATAACTGGCAAGGGCTTGTATGTGGAATATATAAAGAACTCCTATAAATTGAAGAAAAAGCCAGAAAACCAGAAGAAAACTGGGCAAAGACCTGATCAGGCTCTTCACAAAAGGGGATGCTTAGAAGGCCGTAAACATCTGAAAAAGTACTCGCTCTCATACCATCAGGGAAATGCAGATTTAATGAGACACCATCATAAACCCACTAGAATGGTTAAAAATTCTGACAATACAAGTATGGGTAAGGATATAGAGCAATAGGAACTCTCTGTTGGTGGGAGTGAAAACTGGTCCACTTTGGAAACCTCTTTGGCATTATCTATTAAAGCTGGGTAACATGCATACTCTATGAACAAGCAATTCCACTCCTAGGTGTGTACCCAACAGAAATGAATGCACAGGTGAACAAAGAGACACGCGTAAGAATGACAGAGCAACATTAAACACAAAGCCCCAAGCTGGAAATAATCCAGCTGTCTATAAACTGTAGAATGGATAAATTCAGTGAGTAATACACTTAAAAGTGTGGTGCACTTTCCACCTGTGATATACTTCGGTAAAACGGTTTTTAAAAATATACTGGTGGAAATAGTATAAAATCAAAAGATATTTTAAGCACTATCACCTCCCTGTTAGAGAATATAATCGGGGTTGGCCTGCCTCGGCTCACATTTGGGAACGAAGCCTACCTGAGCCCTGAGAACAGCCATGGTTTCCAGGTCCTTCTCCTGCTTGGCGATGGTCTGCTTCATCTCATCCATTTGGAGCTGCTTGGAAGCCAGGGCTTTCTCTGCCAGTTCCAGCTTTCCACTCAGTTCCTGCAGCACCACCTTATCCACTTTTTCCGACTGAAAAAGACAAACTTATTCTAGACATGGTTTTGAAATAATTCAACCTATTTTAGTAAAATATTAGATGAAGGTTTATTTTTTAAAAAATGACTGGCTCTAAACTATTCTGGTAATCAGCAGTGATAACTTATTCAACAACTTTCATGCACTTAATTTACAGCTTGAAGATAATAATTTCCTAATTTAAAATAATGATTTATAAAAAGAAAACACTAAAATAAGGGAGATAATAGCAAACCCTATCTCCGGGCGGGTGTAAGTTGCTGATACTCCTATTCTTTCACTCACATTACTCTTAACTTTATGAAGTCAGTGGAATGTTTGAATTAAAAATTTACTAGGTCCTAGAGAGGAACAATATTCTAGTAAAAGTAAATGAAAAACAGAAAATATATTTCTAAGAATATAAACTCAAAGGCCCCTTCTAATTCAAAGCTCCCATGGTCTTTATTTATTCCAGCTTTATTGAGGTAAAACTGCCAAATAAAATTGTAAAATATTTAAAGTGTACAACGTGATGATTTGATATACATATACATCGTGAAAGGATTCCCACCATCGGGTTAATAATACATCTATCACCTGACACCATGGTGTTTAAATTATCACACCATTCTGGGGGCATTATTACTATTACTATTACAATAATTTAAGATGCAGCCGGATAAGTCCAGGGCCTCAAGTTCACTGACAGCAGGCAAGCTAGCCCTGTGATAGCTCCAGGCAGCAGTCTCACTATACAGTCATTACTCATGTAGGAGCCCAGGCTCAGCTCTCCTACAAACCCATCCACTGTTAGAAATGCTGAAAGCTTAGCCACGGAGCAACTAAGCCCATGCGCCACAACTACTGAGCCTGTACTCTAGAGCTCGTGCTCTAGAGCCCGCGAGCCACAACTACTGAGCCTGTGTGCCACAATTACTGAAGCTTGCGTGCTTAGAGCCCGCGCTCTGCAACAAGAGAAGCTACCGCAATGAGAAGCTAACGCACAGCAACGAAGAGTAGCCCCCACTCACTGCAACTAGAGAAAGCCCGCGCACAGCAACGAAGACCCAATGCAGCCAAAAATAAATAATAAATAAGTAAATAAATTTATTAAAAAAAATGCTAAAACTGTACTCCGACCGTAGGACATGCACATCACCTCTGTACACAAGGCACATTATACATGTGTGGAATATCAGGAGTTATAAAATGTTATAAACACTTAGACACAAGAAATCAATTATAAATGGAAAAACAACCCTTGAAACCAGACCTAGTTAAGGATTAACACAACTACTTTAGATATTTACATAAAATGTTAAATGGCTATGAAAGTAATTTTTTTTCTATGAGTACCTCTCTTCTTTTTAGTTCCTCGGTTGTTTTCAGTGCATTATTGTATTCTTGAAGAAGCCTGTTGTGTGTCAACTGTAGAGTGGCTAATTTGGACCTATTTAGAAAGAAATTTTAAAATGGAATCTTGGGAGAAATATCATAGAAGCTTAGTCTTACCTCCCAACCCTCTTCTGAACACTCAGGTGACAAAATCTTCCCTCCCACCCTTATCATCCCACCACCTACTAGCATGTTCTTACTTGCAGAGAAAACAATTCCCCCCTCCCCAATCAAGATAGATTACAAATAATTTTCATAATTGTTATTGTAAAACTTAACATTTATCTCCTCAGAAAAGTCTACTAGTACGCCTTCAAATAAATAAAAGAGAAAAAATTTTAAATTTATTCCTAAATCCTGATTCCAATCTGCATAAAAGAGCTATTCTATCTTCTTTTAGCAAGTAGCCATTCAGTCACAGCATACTCACTTTTCATCTTCTGTTTTTGCTTGCTCCATTTTGATTTCTGATCGCATGCTTTCTACTTGGAGCTCTAACTTTCTGTTATTATAAACAAGCTCTTGCTTTTCATTCAGCTCTGATGGGGTTGGAGAATTTTTCCTTTCAAGGGCCTGACATCTAAGAAAGAGCAAAATTTCATGAGGACAAAACAGTACTTCATTTCTCAGTGGCTTTTAAACGAATCCCCAGATT